TTTCCACCCTCGCTCCAGAACGGTGCACCGCCAGGTGCCAGCGGCTCCCCCTGCCCTCCTTCCCATCGTCCCATTCTTCATACTGGTTTTCTTGCTAATAAAGCCCCAGAAATGAACATATGATCCCTGTGGTCGGTCTTCATGTTCTTCCCAGACCTGTGAAGTCGAAACAGGCCAGGTGCCAGAACCTTTTCCAGGGCAGATCTCTCTTGGATTCCCAAGTTCTTCCCCTTTCAGAGGATTCGCCTCAATCCAGAGCTTGATCATAACACACAGTAGCAGGAGTTGTTCATGCCAGAAGCATTGCTCCGAGGTAATGCCGTATAGCAAGGGCCCTTTGCTAGGGGCTTTTCAAGAATCCCCTTCCCAGGAATCCCTTTTCACGGTGAAATGGGGTAATGGGAGGGAAGGAGATGCAGCCTGTGCTGCTTCTGCCTCTGCTGTGGAAGTGTGTGGAAAGTATGAAGCAAAGAAGAAAAAGGGAAAAAAACAAGAAGGAAAGATGGGGAATAGATTAGGAGTTTGAGCAGGAATAAAACAGAAGCAAAGGTGGTGAAGGAGACCCCAAAGCAGAGCCAGCAAACGATTTTTGAGACGTTCCTCTGGGCAGTGGCTGGAGGAAGGTGAGGAGGCGGAGGAGGAAAAGAAACAATGGATACCCTCAGACTACCCTGAGACTTGTGCCCTCGAGAGCAGGGAGAGGTGGGGCAGGCTCAGAAGAAGAAAGAGAGGAGGGCTAGGAGGGCTCACTGAAAGTGAAGTTGGAGAAGTGAAGGATTGACAAACGCCTGACAGGTGAAAGAGGGGTTGAATGTAGGGAAGGGTCGGAGATGGCAACAGCCAGAGCACTGGGGGACAAGAAGAGGAAAATAGTAGGGGGAAACTGTGATGAAGACAAAACAGTGGGCAAAGGTTAATCTTGGTCATTGCATTGGTCCGTGTCAGGGGTATTGTAAGTGTAAGTGGGCAGGAGTAGGGGTATCCTTGGCTCACGAGCAAACACGTCATCTGCCTGTAAAAGTGTGATCTATGAAGGACATTGTAGCAATTGCCTATCGCAGGGGTGGTCATGATGTCCCCGTTTCTCGGGAGCCCTCTCCCTTTGACTTCTCCACTATGCTTGATGTGATATATCTCTGATGAAAGGGCTGGTGCCCCAGGGCTTCCCAAGCCTAGTCTTACTCTTCTGACTAGAAGTGCTCGTGGTTGTTACTTTATGGGCTACATTTTGGGCTCCATCCTCCCCAATCCCCACTCTCAAGCTTTGCAGGTGATCTGCTGACATGTGCTGTTCATGGGATACAAGTGCCCAGCCCCATGCTCTCCCATCTGGCAGGCCCCGGGCACTGGACCATCCTGGGTCCTGCCAGGCGACCTGTTTCCATGCCTGGTCGCCCCGGGTGCTCAGTCTTCTCCATACTATATACAGGCCCTCGTGTTCTCTTATGCCCTTCCCCACCTCCATGAGCACCACATTCAGCTCCCACGGCCCTTTCCCTTCCACGTGGTGAACATCCAGGTCTGCTTTGTCTCTAATGCCCTACAGGACAAGTTGGAATTTGGCACCACCTAAAAGTTCTTCACCATCAGCGCTGTGAGAAAAAGAGCAATTCGATTCCTGGAATAGGCCTGGGAGAAGAAGAGTCAGAAGCCCAGTCCCCTCTGACTCCTCAATCCCCCCAATCTTCTCAGAGATCTCCTCTGTTGCCCCAGCACCAAAGCAGGATCCACTACCCAGCACCAGGGCAGCCTCTTCTCCCAGTCCTGCCTTCTGCTTCTGGAGATGCCATGGAAGAGTGGATGGCCCTGCAGTGTTGGACTGGTGGGGGGAGTGGGGAGGAAGTGTCACTAATCCCTGCACAGCTGGTTCGGGCTGGAAGAACTGTCCCTCACCCTAGGCTCCCCTTGGAGAGAGATTTGGA